CAGATAAGGCTACCCGTATAGCAAATGTCTGAGTGAGAAAGATGATCTTGCAGCGTGAAGGAATGACTCATCACAGGAAACCTGGGTGTCTGCCTTCTGAGCTCTAACTGCAAAGTCTCTGATCCTGGCTTCTGCTCACGCAGCTCTAGTGTACTCTGCCCTCCTTCTACCAGAGCACAGGGTGGGTGGCTCCACAGGGAATTTTGTGGGTTGTTCCTTTACAAGGGTGCCTGCATTTCCAGCTGTCTCTCCCTGGCAGAGAGCAACTCTGCTCCTTTTCACCACCAGATATTATGTGGGTATCCTTCTCAGTAATGGTGCTCTCTGTTGGGGGGCCCAGTTGGGAGATTAGACCCCAGAGTTCTCAGTGGCAACTCCTCACATCTGAAATATATCTCTGGAACTTCAATTTCTATCTGTGTGTGCCTGGCCAGCCCTTTCACATGTCCGCCCCTCCTACCAGTCTCTTTGCAGTCTTCACTTTTGGTACTTGGGAATCAGGGTTCTCTCTAGCGAGTCTTCTGTTGATTATTCAGGAAAGTTTTCTGTATTTCAGGCGTAATTCTAGTTTGTTTCTGGGAGTATGTTTGTGCATCATCCACTACTCCACTCCCATTTTTAATCCCCTCATTTGTTTTTTATAGAGTTTATTCTTGTATTATTATTTATTAATTATTGTAATACTTTCTATAGGAATAACTGTAAACCTGCTTTTGTGGCACCCTGTATATGTTACCTACAAGAAATGCACTTTAAGCCATTTGCCTTTCAGGTGATCATCATTGGGGTTAGATGTGATTCTATAATATTGCTTTTTGTTTTGTATTTGTCCCACATGTTCTTTGTTCACTTTTAATTCTTATTCTGCCTTCTTTTGGATTAATTGAGTATATTTATAATCCTATTTATCAATATCTTTTAAAGAAGACAGGCAGACAGATAAGTACTAGTAAATATAAAGTAACAAAAGTAGTAACATGGAGAAAGACATTGATGAAGAAAAACAAAGCTGGAGAAAATAATAGGAGTGATTTGGTTTGGGTAACCAGTGAAGTTTGTGGCAGTTTTCAGTAGGATGGTCAGGAAAAGTGTTACCTGAAAAAATGGCATTTAAGGAAAGACCCAAAATAGATGGATCTAGTCATGTGGATCTAGAAGAGAATTTCAGAAAGAATAGAAATTTCTAAAGCCCCAAGGTTTGTCATTATGAATGGGCATAACGTGTTCAAGAAGCAGCAAGGAGGGCAGTGTGGCTACAGCAGAGAGGCAATGGAGAGCTAGATTGTGGAGCACCTTGCATGAGTCTCTGAATGAGATGCAAAGCTACTTCAGGGCTTTGTGCTGGAAATGACATGATCTGACGTAGGTTTTAAAAGGATTACTCCTGGCTACTGTATTAAAAATAAAATGTGTTGGAAAGGGGGAGCAAGAACAGAAATGGGAAACCCAGTTAGTAGGTTATTATCTATATATATAACAGGCTAATATGCAAAGTATCCCCTCGAGAGTTCGACCGGGAGACCAGGAGTTCGATCGCTCTCTATGACCTGTGCTATCAGAGACAGCATGGAATGGAGGAAGGCCCCGGCCAGCAGCCGGGGAAGGGAGGCCCTGGCTGGCAGCCAGAAGCTAGGGAAGGGAAGCGCCAGCTGCCAGCCGCCAGCCGCCAGCCGCCAGCTGGGGAAGGGAGGCCGTGTCCAGCAGCCAGCAGCTTGGGAAGAGAGGTCCCGGCCGGCAGCCGGAAGGCCCTGATTGGCCCTGATCGCCAGCCAGGCCTAGGTACCCTACCCGTGCACAAATTTCATGCACCAGGCCTCTAGTAATAATATAACTAGAGATGATTATAACTCATACCAGATCTGTGAGATGTGGATAGAGTCTGAATATTTTGCAGGTTGATATTAATGATTTGCTGATGTATATGGGTATGAGAAAAGGAGAAGATTTAAGAATGATTCCATAGTTTTGACCTAAGAAAATGTAGGATAGAATTACTATATTCTGAGATGGGAAACTGTGGTAGTCAAATGCCTACAACTGCCTGGCATGTGTGGTAGGTGTTTTGTGTGGAAAGACCACTGTGCATGCAGTCTTTTGATTCCCTCTCAGCCATGTAAGAATGAGCCTTGAGCCTGGAACACTTTTTTACCAAGAGATAGAGTCCTAATAGCCTATGCTTCTTTTTTCTGCATAACCATCACATAGCACCGGGTTAATGTCATTGCTGTATCTGTCCCTTGATACATGGGGTGCAGAGGAGGGTTCTTCTGCTATAGCACTAGATGTGTAAGTACAGACCAACCGCTCTGCATGGCTGCTGAGGGGGGCCTCCTGCCTATCAGGAAGTCTACATCACTTCTGATACTTACCTTGCTGCTTCTCCATGTGAGTAAAGTGCTCTTCCATTCAGTGCTTGCTGTGTTGTTTTCCTTAGTGACTCCAGTATCAAGATGCAGTGGGCAGAAGTGTTTGGACTTCTACTCCTGTGACAGGCAACAGATGCCACTTTGTAAATATTGAATGGATGAGCAAATGAATCAATAGGAAGGTTCACACTTCAAATTAGGTGCTGTTAATTTTGAGGTGACTGTTAGACCTGTAAGGAAAGATGTTGAGTGGGCAATTAGATATAAGGGTTTGGAGGGCAGGGGAGAAGTCTCCTGGGACTTTTCTGCAAGTCATTACTCATGAATTGAAAAAAATTATAAAATAATTTAGGAAGACTGGCATTTCCATAATGAGTGTTTCTACCATACAAGAGACATACACTGAGTGGCCAGATTATTATGACCACCTGACGTTTGTAGGCAAATTAGCTATAATTTCATGCCGAAGTTGCTAGAGGGCCAGATCATTATAAACATCTGAACAGCACAACATACCTAAGCATCGTTGCTGATCAAGTTCATCCTATCATGTTGATGGTATATCCCAATGGAGATGGCTTCTTCCAACAAGACAATACGCCATGCCACAGTGCTCGTATTGTTCAGGAGTGGTTTCCAGAATATGAGGGAGACTTTCCCTTGCTTAGGTGGCCCCCACAATCACCAGATCTCAATCCAATTGAGCATTTGTGGGACGAAGTTAAAAGAGCCATCAGGCAGCTGGTTCCACAACCATCAAATCTCACAGAACTGGACAGTGCTATTCATCAGGCATGGTGTCAGATTCCTCACATCACCTTTCAACATCTCGTGGAGTCAATACCAAGAAGAATCGCCGCAGTATTGAAGGCAAAAGGTGGCCCAACGAAGTACTGATTGGGTGGTCATAATAATCTGGCCGGTCATAATAATCTTGCCACTCAGTGTATATAAGACATATATAAGGACTGGAATGAAAGAAGGTGAAGAGATTAGCCAGAGAACATATATGCATAACCCATAGATACTGACAACAGTATGGGGATGACCAGAAGGAAGGAGGGGCAGGGCTGGGTGATGGTACAAGGCGGGGGGGTGGGGGTGGGGGGCGCGCATGGAAGGAGACATCTATAATATGAAAATAAAATTTTAAAAAAGTTCATAACAGTATTATTAGTGTTAGACATAAACTGAAAAACAATATTCTTCAACAAAAGAATGACAAAATATCAATTGTGGAATAGTCATAAAATGCTATTTTACAATGAAAATCAATGAACTCAGACACTTGCAGCAACATTAATGAAGCCAGACATAAAATAATTCTTTCTGTATAATTTCATTCATATAAATAAAACTAAACTATAGTGTTAGAAGTCAGGATGGGAGGTTGTCCTCCTAGGGAGTAGGTAATGATTGGAATACTTTCTGGAAGGCTGGTATTGTTGTGTTTCTTCACCTGGGAGGTGATTACTCATTGAGATGTACGTTTAGGTGTTGGACACTTTTGGGATACATGTTATAATTCTTTTTTTAAAAAAAGTTAAACTGTCATGTTAACATATTGCCTCCCAAAGAATTAGTTGATCATGTTCTATCTAGTACCTAGCTAGTGGTTTTAAGTGGTCATGAACCAAGTAAGATAATCTACTTAAACTATGGTGAGAAGGCTGTCGTACAAATAACTGAGGTTCTGATACTAGGAAAGAGGCAGGGCTTAGCATACTTCTCCTTGACATCTAGAATGTTATTTGATTTTTAAGTTTGGAATTTAAAGTGAATTAGAAAAAAATTGGTAGGAGCTCTTGAGTTTAAATATGGCATTAAAGCTCCAAACCCCACATATAAAACTATAAGATAGAACATTGTCAATAGAATGCAGTAATCTTATCTATAATAATGAAAGCATAATATGCTAATTAGACCAGACACCACCGTGGGATGGAGGAGGCCGCCGCTGCTGCAGCAGCTGTGAGGGAGGGATCCAGGCAGCCACTGTGGCTGTGAAAGCCTACTCTTGCATGAATTTTGTGCATAGGGCTTCTAGTAAAATTATATTTAAGTTGAGTTAGATGTGTGTTCATTATTTTGAGCTTTGATTATAGACCAGGTTACTGCAAATAATGGGAAATAATTAGACCACACCAAAAGTATTATGGTCAGTTTGGGTCACCATATTTTAAGGGTGACACTGACAAATTAAAGCTCATCTAAAGAAAAGCATCTGGTTTTGTGGAATTATGAAATATAGATTGTGTATCTGAAAAAACTGGGACTCTGAAATCTTACAGCACCCTGTAAGATATTGTCCTCATTGTACAGAAAGGAAATTGAGGCTCAAAGATAATAAATGATTTATTAAAATGTAACTGAAAAATGTTTTTTGCAGACCTCATATTTGATTTTCAATCTAGTATTTTGTTTGTTTCAAAAAGTTACATTTTTAAGAATCCTGGATGTTAAGCCCCTATACAAGGATAAACTTGAAACTAGAATAATTACAGATTAAATGGGAGGAAGGGAAACATTCAGGGTAGGAAGATTAATGTGAGAAGATAGTTTGGTTATCAGTATTATGTTTATTAGTATTACAGAAATGTATTGTCTTATACATGTTTTTCTCTCTTTATTAAGGTTTTTGACTCCAATGAAGAATCTGGATATCTCATTCTCACCATTGTTATATCAGGTCATTTCTTCATTTCCCAAGGACAAACACTTCTGGTAGGTTTTATGCATATAGTTTAATATGCAAACATTTTTATCTTCATAGTTTTACATTAATTTTTGTTTACTCAAGCTTCTTCATTCTCACTGAAATCCATCAGGTTCAACAACAAAGCATTTATTGAATGTTCTATAACACTGGGAAATAAAGAACATACTAAATATTGCCTGTCCTAAATTTTGTTGGGAGGCAAAATGGATTAAAGGATTGAGATTAACCAGTATTTATAAAGGAATCTTAACTGGGGATATTGGGTTGAAAACAGGCTAGATTTACAGAGAAATATGTCGAGAGTTTTCCATATAGGCTAAAGAGTATAAAGAGAGATAGATTCAAAGAAAAAGCTAAAAGAAAACTTTAAGCATGCTATTATTGCTTGGTATACACCTCTATAAAACTCTAATTTTATAAACATGCATTGTTCTTTATTCTAATTATGCACACATATTGTGGGAAATTTTTGGAATGAAGCAATATATAAAGGAGAAAAAAAGAATCATCTTTCTTGAAAGTTTATGCTTGAATTGGTATTTCATTAGAAACAAAATGGGTGCAGAAAGAAAACAATTATCAACTTCCAACCAAAGAAATTGTTTGAGAAAGGAAGTGTAAGGGACAGTTCTTGCATCATTTAGCTGTGAATAATATCTACATATACATAAATTTGTACAAATGTTTACTGAATATCTACATAGGCATATTTTATTCATTTAACAAATTTATTTATTGAGCAATTACTATGCTGATGGCAGCATCCCACAGTTATACACTGTGACCATTCATCTCTCCCCTTAAGTGGAATATAGCCTTATCCTTGAATGTGAGGTTACCTGCAAATCATATTTGGTTTCCTTGTGATGTGAAAACTGCAGCAGTAGTTGTACTGTTTTGCTTTATCTGCTGCTGTTAGAGCTCATATGAGTTGCAAGGGATAAGATTTTTTTTTCCAGCTTCGAATGAAAAATATTCCAGATGGTGGACTGAGGGACATGTAGCACAAAGCTAATTCTCCCTGTCAACATTGTGGGTCTTTGCTGAATGGTGACAATGCAGTTTGGCTTCCTTAGGCAATAGGGGGCTACCCTGTACTTTGTCTCTGCTCCATCTGTTTGCACCAGTGGTAAATGTTGTTACAAATTGGTAGAGTTTTCCTTGTATCATATGTGGAATTATTTTTTGAACTACAGTTACAAACCCACGTTTATTAAATTCCAGGACATTCACTACTGAGAAATATATAAGGGTAACTGTACAATGTGGGGAAGGTTGCATATACATATATAACTTAGAGTAATATTTTAAAAATAGTCTTTAAATTCTTTTTAAAAACCACCTTTACTGCCCTGGCCAGTTTTGCTCAGTGATTAGAGTGTTGACTCTCAGACCAAATGGTCTTGAGTTCAATTCCCGGTCAAGGGCATGTATCTCGGTTGTGGGTTTGATCCCCAGGCCCGTGGGGGTGCGTATAGGAGGCAACCAATCGATGTGTCTCTTCACATTGATGTTTCTCTCTCTCCTCCCCCTTCCACTCTCTCTAAATATCAATAGGAAAAATATCCTTGGGTGGGAATTTTTAAAAAAATCACCTTTACTGAGGTATAACTTACATTTTAAAAATTCATTATTTTTAAGTGTTCAATTTGCTGTGTTTTGATAAATGCGTATAATTATATAACCACTCCCATAGCCATGATCCAAACATTTCAGCTAATCTCTAAAATTTCCTTGTGCCTCTTTGCAGTCAATACCCTCTGCCCACCTTCAGCACCTACCAAAACCACTGATCTGCTTTCTGTCATTATAGTTTTGCTTCTTCTAGATTTCATGTAAATGAAATCATACAATATGTAGTCTTTGTGTCTG